GATAATTGGCAATCATTTAAGAACACCTTAGGAGATGCCCAAAATCCCATAATCAACAAGAAGGCCATAATGGTTAAAAAAAAAATGTGATTTAGAGGAGAAGTGAAGGCAGCTATAAAAAAAATATTGTAACGAATGGAAATACGGGGAAGTGGATAGTAATGAATATAAATCAGCGGGATTTTTAGGGAGAGTGGGCATGGTGTAGTATTGCAGTAGCAGGTTGAGACCTCAATCAGACCCTGTTGTGCTGGACATATGCCTAATAAAGGACAATTACGATCAGAGTGCTTACAATCTAATACATAAGACAGTGGTTGGGCAAGGGGAAGTAAATGCTGGAGAGCGGAGGGACAAAAAAGGTTAAGTGACTTTCCCAGGGCCACACAGAAAATCTGTGGCAGAGCCAAAAATTGAACCCAGATTTTTGGAATCCCAGTCTAATGATTTGAACAGAAGACCATCCTTCCTCCCTAGGTCCATCTAAGGGACAAGTAGACTCTTTCAGAATTGTTAATAAGGTCATTATAGAGTGAACTGTCTTTGTCACTCGACCACATTTCACAGACAGTCTACAAAATCCCAGGGCTGCACTGGCAGCACAGCAAACATTGCTTGTACCTTAACTTACAAAGATTGTAGCTATGTCTCAGCTATTTGAATAATAGTGCTATAAGAGTTGTTCCCGTGGTCTTAGGGCATTTGTGCATGCAACATTCACAGGTTAAATGCTCAACACTAGTCTCATGAGCTCCAAGCTGACATTGACTGGGAGCAGTGCAAGAGTCAGTGCACTAATTTCTTGACAAGAAGTGAGCACCTTATGTCACATAAAGCAGCTTTTGCAGCCAGATAGAGATGAGCTGATGTACTCCAAACCACTGTGTTATGACAAGGAACATCATTGCAGTGCAAGAGGAACAAGTTCCTCTAAAGGACCAAATGGGGAAAAGAAGTCTGAGGCTATTCTGTAATTTTGTTAACTTAAACTGTCTAGTCTTATTTCAGATGAACAAATAAGTCTATCATATTTTGAGTATGTCCAATAACTGGATAAACACATTAGCTGAGCGTATCAGCAGCGAAATGGTTGTCAGCATTTAAATTGTTGCTCTTAAGCGTCAGAGTTCTGGCCTTGTTGAGAGGAATGGGACAAGTTCACACCTCCTTTACTGCTTTTGTTAGGGTCTGTGTAATAGGAAGACTAGACTGTATCAGTTTATGTTCTTGAGGGCTATGAGGAAATAGGAGGAATTTGTCTTCCTGTTGAACCTGAAGATTTTTCTGGGCCAGTGGACTGAAAATATTACGTAATTTCATCCATGGAGGACATGAAATTCTGGAACACACATAACTCTGAGGCATGATGTTTGTACTGCACACTTGCCAAAGGGAGGCTGCAGCAAATTACTCCATTCCTGAGTGGCTTGAGTAGAGAAGTATATTGATCCAGCACCGAGTACAGTGGTGTCATTTGACAAATAGAGTCACAAAGCACTGAGCAGCACAAAGGGGATGGAGCTAGCATCTGTCCTATAATTCTTAGAGAGGGTTTAGGGCAGTCTCTTAAGAACGAAAGGTTGTCTAATGAAGAGACAGTCCTTTGAACAAGTTTCATTTTATTTCTTGTAGGATTGGTAGTAGTCTAGCAAAAATATTTTCTCCATAATTATTTTGTGTATATATGTATGCAAATTAACATTGGAAACTGGTGAGCCATAAAACAAACCCAACAATATCACATTGTCTCCCTTGGCAATTTGACCCAAGCAGCTTGAAAATGATCTGATGGAGTGGAACAGCCCTCCACTTCCAAGCTATAAAGTGCCAGGACCAACCTTTCTCTTGCAGTTGTCCTGTTCGCAATCATTAATATGAACTTGCAGTTGTAAGGATTTTTTTTTCTTTTTTAACTAGTCTTTTGTATTTCAGATCCCTCATGCTGGTAAAAGCAAACTAAGGTTCCTAATGGGAGATAAGTGTAAACATAAAGAATTCGTGCGACACATTTTCGGAGTGTTCTACAATTTTCAGTAACAAAACGGGAGCCTGTTTTGGCACATCTCCATAATAACTGTTCTGACCCCTTCGCAGCATGGTGAAGTGTTGGGATTTTTTCCTGTAACCCCTTATAAAAACATGTGGGTGCACACTACTAATTGAACAATAACTTAAGAGGATGGGTCTGTCTAACCAATGGATTTGTACTTGATTGACCTGGGAGGGAAGTCGGGAAAAGACTGAGGAGAAGAAATAGCCTTCACTAGCCTTGTGTCCATCTCACACTCCGAACCCTATGTCTTGGAGATTGAGGATCGCTGACTAACCTTTGGCAGCTCCTTGCCCAGAATCCCCTGCAACCTGACTGTTTTAAGGCAGGTGGAACTAAAATTAGATCTCAGTTAATGATGTGGTTTACATGCGGTGTGGGTGGATGTGTTTGTGTGAGAGTGAACTTTGCACAATCTCTCTCTCTCTCTCTCCACCCACTTTGCCTGTCTGCATGGCTCACAAGAACAGAGCAGAGTATTAAAATATACAAGAATCCCAGTCTTTCAGTGCCCCCAAAAGTGGTATTTTCCTCTATCCATATACCTTTTCTGCTCAGGGTAGAATAAGGCACTGGGTTGCTGAATGTGCTAATGTGAAGAAACCCAGGACCTGGATTTGGCAGTTTGCCAAAGAATTTTGTGTGTCTTGCAGTTCTCAGTTTTTAGGAGCAGATAGATTTTTCCAAAGGGTAGGTTTAAAGTGTTTTTTTCCCCCTAAAGTAGGTTGAATTCTAGAGGTGTGAACCTTGACTGTGTGCCCTTATTAAGATAGGCTGTTTATAGAAAATTATTTTGAGGTAGTAGATTCTTTCTGAAAATTCAGGGTGAAATCCTGGCCCCATTGAAGTCAGTGGCAAAACTCTCTATGACTTCAGTGGAGCCAGGATTTTACGCCAAGACGTAGTTTATTTCTCTTGAAAACAGAGGTTAATCATAGCATCTGAAGCCTGGCGTAGAGTGAACAAGTGCTGTGAAATCTCCCAGATGTTGCCCTGCAAGTGTACTCCAGAGTTAGCATGTGACCCCCCCACCCCAGCTATTTTAATTCTGGATCCGCCTTAAGCAGTGCCTGCCAGTTATCCCATAACTTGCTCCAAAATACGTGGCGGTTTTGTGATTATACATAAACTGAGAATAAGAAACCACCAAACTCATGTATGATCTAAGACAAGATTTTAACTGTGTTCTCCACAGATGAAAGGCCAGTCTATGAAACCCTTGGACCTCTCCACCAAACCATCAGGCATCATGTAGGAATTACATGAAGGAGCGCTGAGCTACATGGACTGTACTCTCAGCGCCACACTAAACACCCAGGGTGGGGTTTTACAAGGCCTGTAAGTGACTTAGGAGCACTTGACCCATTGAAAGTCCATGGGACTCAAGCTCTGAAGTCATGGGGGCACTTACTGAAATCCCACCTACAATGTTCTTTACTGCTTTGATACTCATCCATTGATATTGGAAAACTGTGAGACTGGTTACTTGTGCCAGTGCCATGGTATAGCATTGTCTGTGCCTGCCATCTTGGGTGTAAATGTTTTAGCTACACTCTTTTTCAGCATTTTCCTTACTTTTCATCCATTTCCCTTTAGTCTTATTGTTTAACATGAGTTTTAACAAAAGTTATGTACAAACACGTGAGTTATTTAAAAAAAAAAAAGTCACCAAAAACTTTACAATGTAAAATCAGTAGAGAGTTTGTCTCCTGTTACATGCAAAAGGCTGTGGAAGCAAATATTAGTCATTCACGTACTTTTCTGTGTTGAGTCAACATCTATTTTTAGGTGTGGAGCACATAAAGACATCTATCATTGTGTTGGGGAGAGGGAGACAGGCTTGCTTAATGCATCATATTCGTGACTGGACCTTCCCTCCCCTGCCTACCTGCGTATACCGTATGTGTAGACAGTGGGAATTTATAGATGTGTAGATTTAAATACATTGCATTAGATGAAATTCAAATTGTTCAGAAAGTTAGAGCGAACAGTGTTTCAAATGTGCTGTAAAATAAATCTCTTCACAATCTTTATTTCATACTAGCCATGCAAGAAACACCTTTATCAGGGAGTGCTTTTATTAATCTAAGATGTAGATTGTTTTTAAGAGTGTGTTTTTCTTTTAAAATAAAAAAAGAATTCTGAATACAGTAAGTGTTAAGTTTTGCTTATGAGTGTGGTACAGATGTAAACCCATTTGAAATTCTATTTGGGTTGTGTTTGCGTTTTGGTAGAAAAACGTTAAGCCCTTAACAGAAATCTGGTGTAATAATTTTTTCACAATACATACGTAATGCATCAACTGGATTTTTGCTTATTTGGGCATAGTATTTTTACAGTCTGGTTTCAGGCTTACATTGCAAGGGACTTTTTGAAATAAAATGGCAGATACACTGTATTTATGGTTCCTGACGTAGATGTTGATTTAGCCTGATACACTAGTACATTATAATTCAGCAAGGGAAGATGTTGCCAGCTTAGAATGAAAATACAAAGGGATATAGCGTAAAAGATCTCTTTGCAACTAACCTGATCTGTTTCAAGTGCTTGAAACAAAACACACTGGAACCTCAGAAAGCTTGGTATATTCAAAGATTGTTATGTGTTGAATACAGTAAATTATCTGTGCATCCACAGACTATGGGGTAAATTTACAAAGCTGTGCGTGGGAAGTTGTGCGTTAATCTACCGCTGTACAGTAGCTATTTTGTGCTTTCACTTAGAGAGGCCTTATCCTTACATTTGTTCAAGTTATCTCCTGCTTTCCTTTTGTTTTCCCTCACATTTTCCTAGTCCTTGTTGCTTGTAAAAGAACAGCTAAAATCTGAATTGCAGGGTTATTTAAACCAATGCTATGGATTGTAAAGACAATAAATAATCTGTTGATTTAAATGTATGAGGTAAATGCATTCATGGAAAGTGTATTAATTCTTTATTTTTAATCCCCTAGGTGTCATACGCCCGTCCAAGTTCAGCATCAATCAGAGATGCTAACTTGTATGTTAGCGGCCTTCCAAAAACGATGACCCAGAAAGAACTAGAACAGTTATTTTCACAATATGGGCGCATCATCACCTCACGAATTCTGGTTGATCAAGTCACAGGTTAAAAAAACTTTTTTAAAACTTTAAGTATTTTCAGAAAATGGCAAACTTAAATGCTTTTGAAGCAGAATGGTTATAGTGAAGCAGCAAACTGTACAGATGTACAGTAAGAAGCCATGACTTTGGATGTAAAATGTAATCGTATAGAGATAGATGTTACTGTACATACACAGTTCTTTATATATGTAACTTTAAGGGGAAGTAAATGCACTGGGTGTTTTTTAAATGCAGAATCTTTTAAAAATTACTGGTAATCCATATTTAAGGGGAATGTATCAAGCAATTTACTACTTGTATGTCTGTCATCTGCTACAATTATCACAATATAACGTAGGAGGGAAGGTTCAGTAAATGATCTTAAGAGAGCAGGGTTTTTTCCCCTTGATGGGGAAAATAATTTTTATATCACAAAGTAGTGTGTTCTGAACTCAGATCAAAATGAACATGTTGTTTTGTTTCCTTAGATATGTGAAAGACTCCTGAAGCTGTTCTTACTTTTTTTTAACCTTTATTTAACAAGGTCTTTTCTTTATTCCCAGGTGTCTCTCGAGGTGTGGGATTTATCCGTTTCGATAAGAGAATAGAAGCAGAAGAAGCCATAAAGGGACTAAATGGCCAGAAACCTAGTGGTGCTACAGAACCAATTACTGTGAAGTTCGCCAATAACCCCAGCCAGAAGACAAGCCAGGCACTCCTTTCGCAGCTGTACCAGTCTCCCAACAGACGCTACCCTGGACCACTACACCACCAGGCTCAGAGATTCAGGTAACTATCGATCTGCAAAAGAACTGGAGCTCTACCAGCTATGATGACTTGGGGTAGGGGTTGTGTTAAAAATGTATTTTGGAATTGTAGATTGACTTCAATTTCTTTGTAAAATAAAACATTATTTCCAAGTGAGTGAACAGGAAAATCTGCTCACAGCCATAGTCATTCCATATTGACTAAAACATCTCAACTATACAATCAGATCTCATGAGGCCTTAGGTAAAGGATGACAGAATAAAAGGTTATATTGATACTGAAATGGAAAGTGACTTTTCTGTTTTTTTTTTTTTGTTTTTGTTTTGTTATCAACTTTTTCTGCAGTATTATTGTGGTTTTCATGCAACTTTCAATTTAACATTGAGTGTAGGGCTGGTGGCTGGCAAAAAGTTGCGTGTTTATTCTATTCAGCAGTAGTTTTATGACATTATTAGCTTCAGATGTCTGCTCAAGGTATAAAGAGACCTTGTGTAGTCTTTGATATGAGTGCTGAGATGCTGTGTGATGTTTTATGATTTACATTTTGAAAGTACTGCTTGTATCTCATATGTAACACAGTATTAGCAGTACTGGGTTCTCTCTGTGTTATTTTGATTATGTATAATATTTAGGCAACCTAGCATTTTTAGCAAAAGGTCTTTCTTTAAAAAATATTAAATAGGAATGCTTGGACTTACTTGCGTGGTTAAGATAAATATTAGCTATTAAATTTATTTTACTGTGAAATTTGCAAATTTTAAAATCTGAAATGAATTAAAGAAGAACACAGAAAAGGTCAGTCACCTGCCTGGTTTATATGAAAACAAGTGTATATTTAAAACATCTTTGGTAAGGGTATAAAAGCCACTGAGGCTACCACTGACTCCTTATGTAGATAAAGGATTTTTCATATTGTGTATTAAACATAAAGTAGATTAAATTTAATTTCCCAAATTCAATGGTAATTTACATTGGCAGCTTTTGGAGATCGTTATTACTAAATATGTTTCTAAACAAAAGAAAAAATCTAAACAGTTTTGTGAAACTGGGAAGCAAGAGTTGCTTATAACCAGTATGTTTCTATTCCTCTAATTTTGGATTGTAACATTTTATTCACAAGTTTTATTGCAATGAAAGGTGAACTGTTGAAGTATTGTACTTGTTATGATTTCATACTAATATAATCTACAAATGAAAAATCAAAGGGGAATTTTTAACACCCAGTCAAATCTTGAGATATAGCTATTTAGTGAGAGTTCACCTTTCTGAAATCTCAAAGCATGTTAAAATGGCATTAAATATTGTGATTGAAATCTGAATGCAGTTTGAAACTCAAGAGAGTTCCTGTTTCCTAAACTCCTTAGATGTGTGAGAAACTTGTTGAACATTTCTTCTTTGAAAATGGAACATTATTAATAATAGTTCCATTGAGCGATCTTGCCATCTGTGAGACATTAACCCAAAGACCCTCCTTCTCTTTTCAGGCTGGACAATTTGCTTAATATGGCCTATGGCGTAAAGAGGTAATTAGAATTCCACAGATTGCCAGATGTCCATGTTGGCACAGATTGGTGCTACAATTTATTTTTTAAATCACTAACTTTATTTTTTTTTTAATTCCTTCTTTTCTTCCACCAGCATGTCAAATTCTTTTTTTAAGTTTGGACTTCAGTTGGTTTTGTTACTTTAAGGCCACACTCAAAAGTTGTGTGTGGGTTTTTTTCACCTTTTCTTTTATTTACAGGTGGGCTTCTCAGATGGTTTAGGTGCAACAGCTATAAGTATTCTAACACCAATAGTGCTGCTAAATGGCATGTTTTCCTGAATCAAAACTATTAAACTGAAGTTTTTGCTAATCTCTGATCTGATACTGTGAAAATTGTCAGAGGAAAATAGAATTAAATAGCCTCATCCTTTCCTCTAGCTGTGTCCTACCACAAAGTTATCTTTAAAAGTGTAACTGTATGCACCTTAATCAGCCCTAAGTTTCTTTTGTTACAGGTTTAACAATTGTTGCCAATATTTCTTAGTGCTTGTGGTTTGTTTCTTTGTGTGTTTGTTTTAATTTACACAGGTTTGTGTGTTCAGATTGGAATTAAAGCTCAGTTGATTTTGAAACATTCATGTTCCATAATGAGTGTGTTCCATGTTCAATCGGAAAAAAGAAGTTGATATATGTTAGTGTTTCCTCTTTGTTAACGACACACATCGACACTGGGGAACCTTTCAGAACTATAGGGGCATAGTCTCATTCCTGACATTATGCAGAGCTGTGCACCTATAGCCCTGCACTATGAGCTGAGGAAGCACCTTAGTCTACAGGAATGGTCAGCCGTGCACATTCATGAAAACTAGGTGCTCTTTTATAAAGCTCATCCCAAACATGGCATGGTAAGTATATCTTTAAACTGTTCAGAAGTGGACAGTAGAGTAAGTCTTAACTACTACAGTAATGGCAATTGAGCAACGTAATGCCATGTACACCATAAGATTACTTGTACGCCAAAGTAACTTTCAAATTACATGTTTTACATCTATCCAAAAAACCCAAATCATGTGTCCCATGATCAGCACGTGAATCAAAATTTGCTGCATGGTTCTGCAATTCATTATGCCCCTTTCACTGCCTCACCTGCAGTCTGCCCACTAATCCATCTTTCAGTCCTGCTAGTAACGTTCCAAAACTCTTAGCAGCTTCAAACAGCTGCCACTTACAAATAACTGTTTGAGAATTTTTTTTTCTCCCAAATATTTAATTTCCTACCCAGAATTACACTGACCTGTGGTACAGGACAAACCATGTTCTGTCCTAGACTGCGGAAGGTTTAATTTCTGATTTCATGTGACTCATCAAGGCAAGGAAAAGCAGACTAATATCGTTAGAGAGCCAGGTATCTCCTTTCCGCTGTTCTAAGGCTTTTGTTTCTGGCACTGATAGATCATGAGACATCAGGCATTAAACATCACAACAGCTTTTTTTTCAGTGTTTATTGAAGTTTCTTAAAATTGTTAGTTATTTTCTTCTTCCTGCAAGTCCTGAAGAATTGTACTTACCCTCCTAGAAAACTCTGTGTTATTTGGATGTATAAATAAAAACTTCTGAAACCGTCTCTAAAACATCCCCAGATAAATTTTGCTATAAAATGTGTATCCTATACAAAATACAGGATGATTTGGCATGGAATGAAAGATTCATTGGGGTTGACTTCTATAATTCACAGCTTTGCCACTAGTGAATAATACGCCATCCCAAACTCATGTCAGTAAACTTTTATACCACATCAGCCTATATTATAGTGAGAGATGAAGCAGTTGCTGTAGTTAAGGTTTCATGAGCAGGTAAAAGCTGCACAGCTCCTGAGGTTTGGAGGAGAGAGGCTCTCTCTTGTGAACCTCTGAAAGTGCTAGAAGGCATTCTGGTGATGTATAGCTAAATAGCTCTATTTTAGTTTAAAAATAAACATAGAAAATTCTATTAAAAATTATATTAAGGGAAGATTAAGTTTGCACAGTTGAATTCTCAAACATCTGGAAAAAATGATAATGTTAAGGTTGAATATGAAACTTTGACTCATGGTGCATGTGCATCGCAAGTCTTTAATTATATAATCGTATTTCTTGTGCATTTGGCAACCTTAGATCCAAAAAACTAGCATACTGTTGTACTGCACAACTGTGTGTGCACCATATAATCAGTCTGTTAACATGATTTGTATGGAAGTACACAGTCAAATATTCTTACACAAACACACTCCGTATAAAGTATAACAGCATAAATAGTATTTGCTGGCCTTTATGTAGGCTGTTAAAGTTTGCAAACTTCAAGACCCCATTTTCTGATTTGTACTCAAAGAAGCCTGTTCTGCTGGCTGAAAGGAATTTGTTCAGTAATTAGCTGTACCCTCAATTTGTTGAAATGTATTCCTTGTAGAGAAGAGAACTTACTATCTAATGGGCCAGGTTCTCAGCTGGTATAAAAAGACATAGCTCCAGCTTTGTCTAGAGCTGGATAACGTTTTTCAGACAAAATGTTTTTTTTCATTGAAAACGGTGGATTTGTTTTGACAGAAACATTTGGCATATTTGTACACCTCTACCCCGATATAACGCGACCCGATATAACACGAATTCGGATATAACGCGGTAAAGCAGCGCTCCGGGGGGGGCGGGGCTGCGCACTCCGGTGGATCAAAGCAAGTTCGATATAACGCGGTTTCACCTATAACGCGGTAAGATTTTTTGGCTCCTGAGGACAGCGTTATATCGGGGTAGAGGTGTATTGATTTTGCTGAATTGCTTCAGTGTTGTGTTTTTTTTTTTTTAAAGCCCTAAAAGGTTTCCCCAAAAAATCAGAATGATTCATTTAGACATTTTTGAAGCAAAACATTTTGATTTTTTGATTCAAAACAACTTTTCATTTAGAAATTTATTTTAATTTTAGAATACAAAAAAATTAAAAATGTAAAAATCAGAAACTAAATATTTTGTTTTGGTTTGAACTGAAGGTTTAGTTCAATCCAGACTCAACTATTCGCAAACTTAAAAATCAGTTATTCGCACAGCTTTAGCTGTCTGTTTGCACCAGCTGAGGAAATGCACAAAGAAGTCTACACTAGCAAAACGGTGCTGTGCCAGTATGATAATTAGTTTAAGTATACAAAAATGAAAAAAAAAGCATTACAGATATTCTGGGTGGGATTTTTCTAAAGTGGAATTCAGTAGGAATTGTTTGCAGTGACTTCAATAAGAGTAGAGTTACTGCAACCCTGAACACTTTTGCAAGCCTGCATATGAGTCAGAGGGCCCAGTCCTCCAAGCTGTTATGTGTGTGAATAAAGTTGCTGATTTGCATAAGTGTTTGCAGGCTGTAGAAAAAATTGAGTGATATTTCTCTATTTAGGTGCAATATCCAGAAGTGTTCTGGATGTACGTCAAAGGGCAGTCAAGACTTTAAGTGTAATTCCACATAGAAGATAAGCAATCAACACACTAAAATTCCTTGTATTGTCTGTTCACTTCCACTTGCAGTAGAGTAATGTTAAGGAGTTCTATTCACTAAATGTAACTAAAAATATTATAAATATTATTACAAGTTTTCTAATAGAGAGCTTGCAGTCTGCACATCTGCATTGCAAAACAAAGGTAAGAATTATTCAGTATAGGAATTAAAATTCATTGAGGATGCCTGCTTTAAAATTCAGTGTGGAAATACGATTTTTAGCAAGACTTTTCTTACATGTAACAGTTACTTTAAATGTAACCCATTGATAATGGCCTCAAAAATGATGGTGTTTTATCAACTGCTAAAGGAGGTGATTTAACCAAGCAAGTTGTCTTCATGCACTGGTTTTCCTACTTTACAATTACTACACATATGCTCATTGATATGCACAGACATTTTTAAGATAACGTTACCAACAATTAATTTTTAAAAAATATATTTGAATAAAAGTCTGTATACTAGAAACAGACAAAACTTCTTGTTTTCTATCTAAAAATCTCTCAAATGCTTTTAGGATATATAAAAAGGCTCAATACAGAGATATTGCTGAAATTTGACAATGTTAAAACCAAGCCCTAAGAGATCCATTTTTCCATGAGGGTCTGGTAGGGGATGTAACGTGTTAAATCGTTGGTAACTTTGCAGTTCTGTGCACAGTCCTTTAGCTGAGTTGTTTTATTGATAGAAATGTCAGGCCAAATGCTGCATTTCTTACTCATTCAGTGAAATTCCTAATTAGCACTGCAAGATTTGGCCCATGCTTATTTAGATGTTCCTTAAGAATTCCCTTTATTAGACCTCAGACACAGCAAACTAGAACTTATTGTGGAAGGGAAACGTCATTGTGCCCAGTTCTCGTCTGTTACATTGTTCCCAGCTACCATTCATTTCAGTAGGTGTTAGTGGCACCTGTGTAACTGAGAGCAAAGATGGACATATAGTTTACATCCCAAGGACTGGATCATGAAACCGTAATGAGCTTTATTTTAAGTCTCAGTTCCGTGTAATTTGTGCTAAGCGCTATGTCTAGAATAGCCCCCTCTTTTTATTTGGTAGGTTTTCCCCGATCACAATTGATGGGATGACGAGCCTTGTTGGAATGAATATTCCTGGCCACACTGGGACTGGATGGTGTATCTTTGTCTACAATTTGTCTCCCGACTCAGATGAAAGTGTGCTGTGGCAGCTCTTTGGCCCCTTCGGAGCAGTTAATAACGTCAAGGTGATCCGCGATTTCAACACCAACAAGTGCAAGGGATTTGGCTTTGTCACTATGACCAACTATGACGAAGCTGCCATGGCAATTGCCAGCCTTAATGGATACCGTTTAGGAGACAGAGTATTGCAAGTTTCCTTTAAAACCAACAAAACCCACAAATCCTGAATTTCATATCCTTACTTACTAAAACATATATATATATATATAAATATATATACGAACAAACGAAAACTCTGCAAGGCTTATATTCAACCATGGACTTTATAAGCCAGTGTTGCCTAAGTATTAAAACATTGGATATCCTGTGATGAACAGGAAAGGATTTTATAATGCTTAGAAAAAAAAACAAAAACAAAAAAAACCTTTGATGCATTGAATGTTCTTTCATAGCTGTCGTTGTTGAATATAATATACATCGATAACAATGTGCAGGGATTTTTACCCAGCCAGTTAGTTTTACTACCTTTCTTGAAGGTGGCTCTTTTTAAGACGACCATTCGCTCATTTGAAAAAAAATAAAAAACAAAAACAATTTTTACAAACTAATGGGATTAAAAGAAAGAAAAAAAAAATATTTTTCTTTTTTTTTTTTTTCAAATTTTGATCCAATCAGATTGGTAAACCCCCCCTATAAATTAAAGAGGAACAATAAAAATTGCAAAAAAAAAACCAACAAAAAAACACATACTTTTGCAACCTTTTTTATTTTTCCTTTTTTCTTTTATATCATGTGAACTAAACAGTCTTCTGTTAGGGAATGGGGTAAAAGGGGGATACCTGATGACAGAACAATTTAAATAACATTAACAATGTTGCCAAAGAGGTGGTCTCTTTGCTGAAAATGGGTTTCAAGAAAAATCTATTTTTATAAAATATAAAGAATTTTTACAAGAGAATCTGGATTTGAGAAAAAATATTTTGACTGGCTAATTTAGGGGAAATTGACAACTTTGTCATGTTCATACTGCACTGGTAACTTTTTAGAGATCAAGACGTGTGTTTTAAACTGGATTAGTAGATTGTTTTTTGAAGGATGGGCTACAAACAGATGATCTTCGTATCTTTTCATAGCATGTAATAAAAATATTAAATACAGTACGGGAGAGTGTTCTTCCCAGGCACACAGTTACCCACAGTCAAAACCCAAAAGCAAGGAGATGAGTTGCAAGACAGTTTTTCTTTAAGTCATCAGTATGGGATATCAGCAGAACAAAAGTTTAAAAAAAAATAATTGTTTTGATCAAAAACTTCCTTGGTTTGAGCAGTAGGTGCTACAGAATTATTTACATATCTTAGTATCATAGTTAAATGTAATGTGTTTAGAAAAAATAATTTGCTTAAAATTTGTTAAGAATTTTCAAATTCACTTTATAGCCCATGCTGATATAAATTGGGCTGTGTTGGCACATTTGGAACACTGTTTATGTTGCTTGAAACACTTATTTATTTAATTGCCGATGTGATGCATATGGCCAAAATCAAATATAGCTAGTTTGGCTAGTCTACTTATTTGTTTACTTAAACTATGGGAAGAAGCATATTATTGTGTCATTTTGTTGTGTGTGTATGTGTATATATAATATAAATATATATATATAAAGTTATTTTTTCTTTTTGTTAATTTATTATAAGTTGTAACACTTTGCTAGTTTTGTTTGTATATGTCTTAAAATGTTTTCTTATGATACTTAAGTGACAGAGGTATCAAGGTAACTTGTGTAGAAATATTGTTTGATATATTGTCATGTTTGTTGTGAATATTTTTTCTTACTGCACAGTAGAAAAGAAAACAACTGGGTCTTTATTTTAATGTAATTCAGATTGGGGAAAACAGAGCTAAGGGAACAAAATGACTGAGGGGGTGCTCTCCCATGTCCAGTGCACTGATCATTTTAGTATGTTTGTGCTTTGTACGGTTATATATTTAAAACAAAAAAGGGTCATGCTCTTCCCTGAGTACTAGAAACAGTTACTCGCTATGCATAATCTAGTTGATAGTTAAATTTGCTATTGCTTTTCTTGTCTTGTTATATAAAATCTTTTCAATACAAGTTTAGTCTTAATGGTAATAAAACGTTATGGTTATTTATAACTTGTGCTTATTTTGTGCATTTTTTCCATGCTATACCCACTAACTGCACGTAGATTAAGTATTGTTTTTTTTTCCACACTGAAGAGGCAAACTTTTGTAGTAGACAGATAAAACAAAAGCATCATAATTTTATTAGTTTTTTTTATTTTTTAAATATTTTAGTTCTAAAGAACACTCATTCAATGTTCAGGGAAACCTTTATACATCATCTGCTATGAATGAGCGCAGTTCGCTGGGAAAGTTTTGATGCATTTGCTAAGCATTAGTGGGGAAGGCATGTCAGAATCTTTTCTCTACAATGTGTTTTACTAGCTGAATAATAATTTAAAGGAAAAAAACTTTCTTAGAACCAGGCAGTTGTATACTTTAGTTATAATGAATGACTTCATGTTAACCTTGCTAGTTTAGATCATTTCTGAGGGAAAGTATTGTAAATGTTTTTTTAATAACCTTGTTGTGTTTGAATTATTTGTACTTTAATTGTCCGGACAATAAATGAAAGTGTGTAGAATGGCTATGGATTTTCCAGATTTTTAAATGTGTTCAGATGTTTTAGTAACCACAGCCACACAATAAAGCAGGGAGATATTATAGTCTAATTGCAGTAGAAAGTTCTTTAAGGGAGATCCTAAGGTACTAAACAAAACAGTTGAAGCATATTCATTGTTCATATGTTTTTCTTCCAAAACCTTAGCGTAGCCAAATGGAGTTGGTTTCACTAACATTAACTGCAGCAGAGTAATTGTACTTAAATATTTTTTAAATTGGTTTGTGTGATTTTTTTTTTAATGTACACAATGTTTTTACACAATGAAAGTATTAACTCAGTCAATATCAAAATTAAGCAAAAATATTAAATGCTTTAATTATTATACAAATTTTAAGCCATCAGTTAGACTTTTCTTTTTGACATGGATATGCAATGAATGTCATACAGTATGAAGGATACATATCTGCTGTATGGCTCTAAAATTTATATATTGCCACATTCATTCAAAATTTGATTTTTTTTCACCACATTTTATAGCCAGAGGTGATCTCTCTTTCAGTTGACTTATTGGTTTAAATTCCATTAAATACAAATATTCACTCCATGTTTGTGTTCTGTAACATTCTCTTGCTAATTGAAAATATGTACCTTGTAAAATTGCAACACTGCATTTCATAACCGAGTATAGAAAAAAATGTATCAACCGGTGGACTATGCAGTTCTTCAGCTGCTTCACTACTAATAAACTCATGTTTTTATGATTGAATTACTATGTTGGTTAGAATAATTAATTTCAGGCCATGGAATGAGTTTGTTTTTAAATATACAGCCTGCATGATTCATCCTTAAATTAACCTGAGCATTATATAGTAGAATGTAAACGTTATTGTTTTGCTCTGTTTAAAGGTTAGTTGCTAAAAAACCTCTAACAGCTTCACAGCATCAAAAAAGTTTAAATACTCTAGGATGTCACGTATCCTAATATATAATCCAAAGTAACACGTTCCTACAGCATTTTATAATGCTGCCATTTTATTTTGAAACTGAAGTTCTTAAAAAGTTAGGAAGAATTTTTAATACTACAGGGGTACAGACCTTTTCCATTTGAACTAAAATTGAAATTTCAGTTTAAAAAAATGCACAGGTAATAGTGTTAGTAATAAAGTACTTTTGTAGCATCGTAACTAGTGCTTTTCATGACCTCTCCTCCCCCCTGCTCCCAAACCTTATGTGCTCTCTGCTTTGTGTGTTTATATTATACCGTCAGCTTTAAGATGAAATCCTAGCTCTATCGAAGTCAATGGGAGTTTTGCCATCGACTTCAATGGGGCCAGGATTTCACTCTTAGTCTGTTTCACTCTGTTTTCCCCCTTTAAATATTATAGACTGTGAATTAGCTCTTCCTTCTTGGTAGCAACTAAAAGCTTTCTTTAAAAAAGAAAAGAAAAGAAATACTGCTCATATTGGATGCTGGTAGATATTGTCCGGAAAAAATAATAAATAAATAAATAAATGGAGATATCCCATCTCCTAGAACTGGAAGGGACCTTGAAAGGTCATTGAGTCCAGCCCCCTGCCTTCACTAGCAGGACCAAGTACTGATTTTGCCCTAGATCCCTAAGTGGCCCCCTCAAGGATTGAACTCACAACCCTGGGTTTAGCAGGCCAATGCTCAAACCACTGAGCTATCCCTCCCCCCAAAAGAAGGTGGGAATCACTTGCAAAACCAAACTCACCATTCATTCTAAGAACCCCATTCTCATCTCAAAATACTGGCGTGTTATTACGCATCTTGACTGATCTACTGCTACTTACCCATGGAGAAATGCAGCGAAAGGTGTTTTGTTTTTGTTTTCCCAAATGTGTATGGCAAGGCACTTTGAGTTTAGAGCTAAGGGGTGGCACTAGCTTAAAATAAATTAATCCGTGCTTCGCACTAGCTCTCCCCAGTAAAATTGGATTCATGTGCCATATTGGACAAAGCTCCACCCTTCTGTTTTAAAAATAATGCTTTGCACCCCTCTGTAGTACCTTTAACCTGAGGCTCTCAAAGCATTTTACAGCTGACTGACTAAGCTTCCTAACATTTCTGTGAAGCTAGCTAGGTATTCATCTCACATTGGAGATGAGAACAATGAGGCACAGATAGGTTAGACTTCTCCAAGATCACACAGTGATCAGTGGTAGAAACAGGGATAGAATTTAGGACCCTTGACTCCAGTCCTGCGCTTTAACAACTGGACAGTCCTCTCCGCTCTTCACACTGGGCGCAGACTGAGTGCAGCGCTCCCTTTGTATTGAGTGCATTATGTGGAAGAGATGGCCCAAACATCCAAAATTTCATTTCTGATTACCCTTTACTCACTGCCTGATCAACCCAGCGTCCCCTCTCTTGAGCAGAAGAGACCGATGCAACATATCCCTTTTGGTCCTCCATGCATTGCCCTGACATCCTGTTCAATACCATACCCAGTGAAGGTCTAGTGCTCATCCTCAAGACCTTTCGTGAATTGGGCCTGACTACCTGAGGGGGCATCTCTGCCTGTGCGTCATACCAAAGTCAACAAGGACAATGACAGCTAT